GCCAACCTGGGGCCCATCACTGCAGGCGCTGACTGTGGAGTGGGGAGAGCTTCAGCTCACCCTGCAGTCCTGGGCCACATGACAGTGATTTTTTGGAGTCCAGCACACAGTAGGTGCTTAATACATGATTGTGGAAGGGAACTAAATTCTTCTGTATCTTCTTCCCCACCTCCAAATCACTTTGGAAATCTAGGAATCTAGGAAAGCTAGGAAATCCCACTTCCCATTTCCTGGACAAAAACACACACACACACACACACACACACACACACACACACACACCACAAAGAGACCCACGTGCACACAGGCAGACACGTGCAAACACATGGCCATTTATATTCAGATTGATAGACACTCAGGCGCATGGATGTGCAGGCCCCAGAAGACACAGAACACAGCACAGACTCATGCCCTCGTGCATGAGACAGACACGCGGACACACCAACACACACTGAGAGTCATAGGAAGTCACCACCCCGGTCACCACGGCCTCTATTCTTCACCAGATCCTCAAGCTTTGGTAAGGAGGGACAGGACTAGGAAGGTGCCACAGCCAACCCATCCGACGGCCCCACGGAGCTGCTCAGGAAAAACAGGCTGGTCACATTCCTTCCTGGGTAAGCTAGGGGTCGGTGGGCAGGGCCCATACTAGCCCCACCTTTGTGGGCCCAGGTTGATGACGGGGACCAGCTAGAGCTGTTCCTCCTGTTCACTAAGGAGCCCCTGGACCCTGTGGTTCGGGAGAGGCTGTGGATGCCTCTAATACCCATAGGGACTGGGGAGTAAGAGCGTGCATTCATTCATTCATCCCGTCAGATATTAAGTGGGAGCCTCCTTCTTCCTGGTCCCCCAAGAGATGCTGGATTTGCCCGAACCTTGGCCTGTTGGCTACAAAGCAAGTGAGCCCTGCCCTCTCTGCCCACCCAGGAGATGAGCTCTGTGCTCCTGGCCAGCCGCGCCCTTCTGGCGTTCTCCCTCCTCCCTCCCTGCTCCAGATGCTCTGTCCAGCTGGCAGATCGAGGATGCAGGAGTGACCCAGGCCGCCTGACTGGCCACCCCTCCTCAGCTCCTTCCCTGGGGCCCTTTCTCTCTCTAGCCTCTAAACCTTGGCTTCGTGGGGCTCGGTTCCCACACCTCTTCTCTCTGTGCACCACTCCCTTGGCGCCTTCATCAAGTCTCATGGCTTTACATACTATCCACATGCTGACAGCTCTCAGACCCCTGTCCCCGGCCAGGTCCTGCCCTGTGAGTCCCAGGCCCCAGGACACCTCCCCGGGGAGCCCAGTGGGCCTCTCTACCTTAATGTGGCCGACACTGAGCGCCAGTCCTTCTCAGTCCCAACCCTCTCCCCTTGTGGGTGCCAACTTCTGAGTCATCTTGGATTGCTTCCTGTCCCTGGGAAATCCACATGCAGCCTTTCAGAAAATCCTATATGCAGACCCATGGGACTATTTTCAGGATCTGACCCCTTCCCACCTCCTTCACTGCTGCCGCCTGGGTTCAAGTTGCTGTCATCTCTTGTATGGATCATTGTAACGGGCTCCTCACTGTTCTCCTGGCCCTATTGCAGTCTCTTATCAGCACAGTAACCAGAGGGTCCTGTTAAATGTGAGATGGTGTCTCTCCTCTGCTCAGACCCTCCAATGGCTTCCTACCTCAGCTGGAGAGAACACCTGAGTCCGTGCTGTCACCCACAGGGGCCCCAGGGCCTCTCCGCTCCTCCACCCCAGTGCCTCCTCATAGTCTTCTACTGTCGTCTGGAAACCCAGTGTCCTGTCCCACAGGCCACCCCTAGTCACTCAGCCTTCCTGCCCCTGTCAGCTCTGCCTCCCAAACTCTCACTTTCTCACCACCACTGCAGCCAACTCTCTGGTCCAACGGCCATCACTTCTCCTGGGGATGACTGCAACAGCCTCCAACTGGCCTCCCTGCCTCCCTGCCAGCAGCCAGAACCGACCTTCCAAGTCAGTGTCCCTTGCTCATGGTTCCCGTCAAGCTTAGAGTGAGATCGGATTTCTTCCCCACGTGATACTGGCCCTCCATTGTCTCTCGGACCTCATGCTGCAGACGCCCCTCCATTCATGCCCTGTGCTCAGCCAGACCTGTCTGCGCTCTGATTCTCAAACAGACCACCTTACTCCCGCCTTAGAAGGTACTCACTTCCCAGAAATCCTCTTACTTCCTCCGGCTCTTCATTTAGAGAAGCTGCTCTGACCACCTTATCTAAGGAACACCCCCTCCCTCCCCCTGCCTGCCCCTCCTTCTCCACGCTCTAACCTACAGTGCTCTGATCGGTCTCAGGGATGTTTGTACCCTTGCTTTTTGCTTGTTTCGTCCACTGGAATGTAACCTTTATGAAGGCACTGACTTCCTTTGTTTCGCTCACCCTTGGGTCCCTGTACTTCCAGTACGATCAACAGTGCCCTGTACAAAGTGTGTAGCAAACATCTCCCGAGTGAGTGAAGGAATGAACGAATGAATGCTTCTGGAGTCCAACTCTCAGCTTTGGTGCCATCTTCTCTAGGGAACCCTTCTGGAATGACCCCAGTCTCGGTTAGGGGCCAGGCTCCCTTTGCAGCCCACATTTCTTCTATCCCTGCCTGAGGCATATATATTATGTTCATGAGTCTGTGCACTCACGTGACTGATGTGCTGTAGATTTAATAGACCGGAACCGGAAGCTGACTCAGGCCACGCCCACCCAGGCGCAGCTCCACCACCTCCCTGGGCCAAAGGCATGCCTATCTCCAGGAGAAGCTCCGTCCACCTTCCTGGGCCCCAGCTCCGCCCACCTTATTGGGGCAGAAGATCCTTTTACAAGAATGTTCTCTATCTTCTTGCTTCTCTAGCCAACCAGGTTAGAGCTTAATAGAGAATGATAGGAATTCATTTCTTCCAACTTTAAAACCTTACTTTTGTTGTCTAGCTCCAGACTAGCATATTACAGATCTGGGGTCAGCAAACTATTGACGAGTGAGGTCTGCTGCCTGTTTTTGGTAAGTAGAGTTGTTTCATTGGAGCAAGCATAGCCACACTCATTTGCTTCCATATTTGCTTTTGTGCTACATGGTCAGAGTTGAGTGGTTGGGACAGAGACTCTATGGCCCGCAAAGCCTGGAATATATACTCCCTGTTGCTTTACAGGAAAAGTTGGCCGATCTCTGTTACAGATGCTCAAAAAATATTGTTGGACTGAATCAACTCAAGTCAGACCCTAGGAATCCTGCACTGCTAGCATACATTCAAGTCTTCTGTCCAGAGACACCAAAATAAACCAAACACTCTAAACAGTTCTCTCTTTAAAATTAGGGAAATGGAGGTAGAGAGTAGGTAGGGATAGCCTGTAAAGAATCCTGTCTTTCCTTATTTAGCAAACAGCATCGATTGAGCACCCACTGTATTCCAGGACCTGTTCTAGGCAGAGCAATGAATGAGACAAGGTTCCCACCCCATGCACTTGGTGTCCAGCTGATAAAGTATCACACCTTCGCTGTGCTCAGCCAGTGAGACTCCTGCCTCTGCCAGATTTGCCACACCCCCCATCCCCACACTCGGGCTGCATCTCTGTGGGCCCTGGCTCCCAAATCTAGCTGTTTCTCTGAGGGTCCTCCTGCCAGGCTGTGCAGTCACCGACTGCGTCTCATTCACTCATCTGGACCTCCCCAGCACTGAGCACGGCCTCCACCATACAGAAGGTGCTCAACTTTCTTTTATGCTGCCGCCAGCCCCCTTTGAGGGCCCCAGACTTGGTAACCAGGAATGATGACCAAAGCACACTTTAGGAATTCCACCTAAGAGCAGTGCCTTGCAGGAATGCACAAAGGGGAAGGATGAACCTTATAAGATATTTTCCCCTCTTTAAAAAGAAATCCATAAGTGACGTCATGTTCTCTTCCTTTCTCTTCCCGCCGCCTGGCAGGCTTCGTGTTCCACAGTGAAACCCACGTTCCAGGCTGACTTGAGAGCTGGGTTTGATGCGAGGAGTAATTATCAAAAGCGACAGGGGTGATCCATATGATAAAAAGCTTCCTACATTTTTCGCGAAAGTGAGCCAGGGGTGAAACTAACCGCTGCTGTGGGGGATGGGGTGGGAGGGAGGCTTTGTTCGGCCTCCATGGCCTGGAGGAAGGGCACCTGGGGGTAGAAGCGGAGGAGGGGCTGTGCAGGGGTGGAAGGGGGAGGCGCTTCTGGGAGAACACACCCCCTCAGGAAGTGCTGCCTGAGAGCCTGGAGCAGAGCTTTCAGTCACTTCTGCTCAGGATGGCTTTGCTGTCCCAGGCGTCCAGGACCCTCAGGCCCTCTCCTGGAAATCCCTTTCCAGGGAACATTCTACCTTGTTAGTATTTGCTGACTCTTGAGAGATTTTCTTTGGGCCTCAAAATGCTTTCTTTTGATAATATGTCTCAGGTGGGTTTAAGATCACAGCTATTACATCAGGATTTAACTTTGCCTTGACTTGTGGAGGAAGGAAAAAAAATCTCATTGACTGTTTCAGTAGAAGTTCCAATCTGGCACTGCCTGATGGGTGTCTTCATTTGGTTATTCAAGAAATGTTTACTGAGTGCTTTATATGGGCCGGGCACTGGGCTGGGAATATGATGGTGAAAGAGGTGGGTAGAATCCTAGCAGAGCCCTAGTGGAGTTGGTTGGCACTAGTTGAGAGAGATGGTTGCTCAAATAGACACAGCATGATAAAGGTGCTGTACTCTGGGAAGCCCTTTAGGGGCCTGGAGGACTTCTTGGAGGAGGTGATGTTTCAGCTGAAACCTGGCAGATGAATACGAATTTGCAAGACAAAGAGGGGAGAGAAATGTGTTGTAGGTAGAGCGAACAGCATGCATGAAGGTTTGACCTCCGGACAGGAGGGAAGGAGGGAGGCTCAGTTTTATCCTGCCCTCTGCCGTGACAGGGACCTCTAGATAGTCCAGGCCTTGGGCTCTCGAAGGATGGAAGGGCAGGACCCACCACCGAGAGGGAGATAAAAAATTGCATGCACTCACGGAGGAAATATTCTGCTGTGTCAGCTTCGTAATCTGCATCCTCTGGAAAGTGATCGATTTGCTTGCAGAGACCTTTGAAGTTCCCTAGAAAACAAGGGGAAAAAGTACTTGTGAGACAGCATCATCTCCGGGGGCTCAGCGCCCACCGGCCGCTTCCTGACTTCTCTCTCTTCTGAAGCTGGCTCACCCCTCTCCCTCACCCACAAAGGAAGGTATCACTTTGTCTGTTTGGACATCTGCCTGGTGAATCAAAACACACACCCATGGTGCTGCGGAGAGGATCTAAGGCTTAAGACTTCAAAACCTAGCCTTCCATCTCTGCATCGAGGCTTCTGAGGATTAGCTGAAGCTTGGCAGGCGGTGGAGGTTTGATTCTGGGCTGGGGACTGCCACGGAGGAGGCTGATGAACGTCAGTGCACCTGCCTCTGTGCCCCAGCCCAGCTGGGAGTCACCCCGCGTTTTACAGGTGAGAAAGCAGATCGCTTTCCAAAGAAGGCAGACCCCAGATGGAGGCTGGCGAACTTTCCCACAGCCCTTTAGATGAGCTGGTAAAGCATTTTCCCATTTGCAATTACATGGAATTCACCGGACAGAGCCTGTGTAAGTTCTGAAATACCACCTGGGTTGAGCCCCCACTGGTGGCTGCGCCCTCTGCCGGTCTCTTGGACTAAGATACAACCTGTGAGAGGGATATTATCATCTCCATTTCACAGATGAAGAAACTGAGGCTCAGGGAGTCTAAATGACTGAAGTCCTCATGGCCAGGAAATGATGGGCTCAGGGCTCAAACGAAGACCCTTTGTTTCTAACAGTTTCCTTGGTGGTTGCTGAGAAGGTGCTCAGAGAAAAACTTGCCCAGTGCCCAGAGGAGCTCCAGCAGGGATCACTAAATGAATGAATGAACCATTGAATGCAATCTTCATACAAACTCACACAGAGAATAGAATTTACAGTCACATCGGTTTCCTGACAGCAGAGACGTTTGTCTGTTTCATTCAATATCGTATCCCCAACACCAGCACAGGCATGACAGATGTCAGCTCACTTTCTCTGAGTGACTGAATACTTGGACCTGTGCTGGGAGATGTGACCACCATGGTGGGTAAGAGGCAGGTACTGCAGCTGGACTGCCTGGGTCTGGCTCAGCAGCCTGGAGATGCCTCAGTTTCCTCATCTGAAAGTGGAGATCGTAGGAGTTCTTCCTTCACAGATTGTCGTGGGGGTTAAATGAGTTCACACGTATAAAGTGTTCAGAGCGGTGCCTGGCACGGTAGTAAATGTGCTGGGGGCACTGATGGGAGAGAGAAATGAACTGCAGCTACTTTGCCACTGACATTCAGGATTTTTCTGATAGGAGCTAATATAACCTAATTAATGCAGTCCTCAATACATGTTAGCAATTTATTTTCTTTATAAGGTCCTGAGTCTTCATAGCTCATAAAGTAGGTTTTTAAAAATATATACTATAGGGATTATTTAGGAATTTGAAGGCATTATTACACAGACTCGTATGTATCACACACAGCTGTTATCTACAGGATACAGGTGTGCTTACGTAAGTATTGTAGATATGTCTAGCTATTATTATATTGTATCGATAATTCTGTACTATGTATTACAGAGAAGACGGTTGGCTCTCAAACCCACCTTCACTGTCTCTGTACCAAATTCACTCCCTTTCTCGACTTCTGCAAGAAAAATCACTCCCCAGAGTGCATCGGGACTTTGAATAGCTTCACTGAAGCTCTGCAGGATCTGAAGAGCACAGCGTTTCTCTCAAAATGCTCCCAAAGGGCAGGCCACTTCCCGAAGTGTGCTGGGCAGCCTCTCCTCTTGCTTCTCTCGCCCCACCCCTTGCTGTCTCCCCCTCCTCTGTTGTCCTGAGCACCTGCCGGCTCTGCTCTTAGCATCTTGGTGCATTAACCAGGGGCCTCCCCCTCCTCCTATCCAACCACACACTCCTCTCTCTCGAGAGAAGAGTCTTCATACCGGCTGCTAAGAGGATAAAATACCCTCACCATTGTTAAAATTACAAATCAGTGTATTTGAAAAGCACTTTGCAAAGCACTTTCATTTTCTCTCCATCCAGCCTGACAAATATTTCGTCGGCACCAACTTGGTGCCAGGCATCTTTACAAAGAATCCGTGCAGGAGGTGAGGTGCAGACAGCAGTACTGACACGACCTGAGGATCCTTACAAACTGGGGGCGCTGCTCAACCCCCAACCAAGGGCTGGTAGGTGGTGCCTCCACGTCTGTCTTCTAAGGGGCCCCACTTAGGGCTGGTGAATCACGCCTGCACCTGCTCCCCATGCAGCCTGGCTATTCCGCTGCCCCAGCCCGGGCCTCAGTCATCCGTGGACCGCTAGGTCCTGTCACAGGAGAGGGGCTCCAGAGATGCTGGTTGAGAGGCCGTGTGAAATAATCAGCAGCCTAGACCTCTCCTGTGAGGTTCAGACCTGGGTGTCCAGCTGCCTATTTGATGTCTCCCGGTGGATGTTTTCAAAGCATCGTACACTCAGCAGGTCCAAACCGGAACTCATGATCTGTCCCTCAAGCCTGGTCTTCTGGAGCCACCAACTAGGTCATCCAGTGCCTCTACATCTCTCCCTCGTGCAGGCCTGAGCCCAGCCACCATCGCTGACATCTCCTCTTCCCTGCAGGCTCCATCCATCATGACGCCCTGTCTGCATTAGCTCTCAGTATCTCTCAGACTCATCGATTGCTCTCCAACAACAGCAACACCCATCGCCAGGCCACCCTCCTTGCTTCCTTAGATGAGTGCAGTAGCCTCCCCACTGGCCTTTTTGTACCCACTCTCATCCATCTCTAGAGAGTAGTCATAGTGAGCCTTTGAAAACGCAAATCTGCTCAAGTCACCTCCAGCTTAAAACACTCAACAGCTTCCTGATGCTCTTCAAGAAAAGCTCAACATTATTAACAGGGCCTGACCCCCGACTTCTGTCTGGTCTCCCCTTCCTCTCTGTGCACGTGCCATCTCTGCTGTCTTTCCTGCTGCGTGTGCTCCGGCCATGGGGCCTTTGCACATGCTCTTCTGGCTTCCTGTGCTACCACCATATCCTTTTTTGTTCCTCCCTCAACCTCCCTTTGCCCTCCCGCACTGTGCTAGTGGGGTGTCTACTGCTATGCTCACTGTGTCGAGGGGAGGTGTTAAGGCATGAGTGATGCTGGTGGGAATGTTCTAGAAGAGAGGGACAATTGATAACCCAGGGAGGGGATGGAGCAATGCAGGAGCAACGTGAGAGGGGATGAGGTCCAGGACACAGGTGCAAGGTTGGCCTTAGGTGGGGTGGATAAGGGTACACCCACTGCACTTGGAGGGAGTGGGGCACCTGTGGATACAGATGCAGAAGATGGGTAGACATGGTGGGACCCTGGGACACGTCTCTTCTGGTTGCTTCTATCTTCCTGACAAATGGGAGGCAGAATCATCAACTGAGACTGAGGGAGGGGTAGAAGGGTTGGAGGTTTGAGGAAGCAGGAAGGAAGTGAAATTTTTCTCCAGGAGAATGGGAGAGGCAATGGACCAGGCTTGTGACATGAGGTATATGTGTACGGGTGGCTTGAAGGTCCCTCTTGCGATTCTGTGGTTTTCTCTGAACATATTTAGCGTGTGGCTGCAATCTGGCTGGAGGGTTTTCTTTAACCAGGATGGGGGTCTGTGAGATGAATGCATGAAGGGAAGGGGGGAAGGGAGTGATTATGAAAATGGATTAGACCCTAAGCTGGTAAAGAAGGCAGTGAAAAGGTGGGGGATCAATGCATTGAAAGCCTAGGGAGGATCAAGGAATTTTTTCAGGGAGATGCTCACGGGAGTGAGCTGGAAGGGTGGGGCATGGGAGTCAGAGAGCAGATGCAAAAGACACTGTGGAGGGGGTGTGGTTAATTATAACGCCAGGGTCAAGGATAAGACCATGAACTGGGTGGCTCAGGGATGACATTCAAAGTGTTTAGCAAATCTCCTACAAATTAATATACAAGACAAAACTAAATAGCTTTTACTTAGAAGATAAAACTAAATGTCCACTTTTATTTCCTACACACACCAAGTATAGCTGATAAAACTGCTTACCAAGTCAAACACTGATGTGCAAATGATTCATCAAATTATTGTAATAAGCCCCAAATCAATGGTTGGTTTTTAGAAATTATTGGTGTGATCTTTTGATGATGAGGCTCTTACAAGCTAAATGATGGCCCTGTCTGGACTGAGATTTGACACAGGGAATCACACCAGATGCTCCCGGCCCTTCTCTGTTAGAGGAAGAGTCATTCCATCTCAGTGGTACAGAGTTTTCTCCTAACCTGTCTGATGCTGGTCAGTTGGAGGACATCTCCGAGGAAATAGCCCTCTGTCCACGCAAGTGTGGGTACTGGGAGTGGTAGAGTCGGGGTGGTGGTGGTGAGAAGGACAGAAACTATCAGAACTGTTGGAACATTTGGAGGTCGTGCTTTCACGGGCAGTGGGGTGAGCGCAGCCTGGCTCTGCCACTCAGGGCTCTACGGAGGTTCTGTTCTTCTTTGGCTCTGGTGCTCCCCCTGCAGAGCCAGATTTGCCTGTGGCACAGAGCTCACCCTTCCACCCATCCCTGGGCGAGGATTTGTGGGGCTGGGGGAGTTGAAGATGGGTCAGATTAGGGGATGAACAGAGCCCTGAGGGACAATGATGAGTAGTGAGGAATGAGCCAGGTAAACTGGGACCCAGGTTATGATGGGATTGGTCTCAGCGATCTCTGAGGTTGATGGCGATGATGAGGCTGTGAGGGTCAGCTGGAAGCCTAAGAGGTCTCCAGGAGCACTTGGTGCTCTGTGTCCCTGGACTCAGTATGACTAACGTGGTGCTGAGACCTATGAAGGGGTGGTGCCACCAGTGGCAACCAATCACCTTTGGTGGAATTTACATTTGGTAGAAGACCTGTATTGGCGGATGTCATTCCAGTCATTGAAGAGTGGTGTCACCTTATTTTCCTGATGCTAGCCCAGAGTCCTGCTCTATTTCTTTCTGGTTGGTGATTAGCAAAAAGTATTGATGTAGCTTCAGGCATAGGTGGATCCAGGTGCTC